TAATTAAGGAATACTGAGAAACAAGAAGCACAGAAGAACCACTAAAGGAGAGTAGGCTGGGCGTGGTGGCTCATGCCTGTAATCCTAGCACTTTGGGAGGCCAATGCGGGCGGATCACTTGAGGTCAGGAGTGCGAGATCAGCCTGACCAACATAGTGAAACCCAGTCTCTACCAAAAACACAAAAATTGGACGGGCGTGGTGGCGGGCGCCTGTAATACCAGCTAGCTACTCAGGAGGCTGAGGCAGGAGAATCACTTGAACCCGGGAGACGGAGGTTGCAGTGAGCTGAGATCGCGCCACAGCACTCCAGCCTGAGTGACAGAGCGAGACTCCGTCTCAAAAAAACAAAAACAAAAACAAACAAAAAACAAAACAAAAACAAAAAAGGAGAGTAAGCTTTTGCCAACCCTTGAATAATTGGAGGTACAGAAAACGCTAGACGCTATAACAAGAACACAGCTTTACTGATTAAATACAGTTATAACTGCCCACAAAGACAACCAAATTTCAGTTTTCTATAGTTAGAAAAAAATAGGAGAAAGGATTTGTCACAGACTATCAGATCATTGCAACTTCAAAAAGCCCTACGTAAAATTAGTTCCTTAAGCGCAAGGAAAATTTTATAATGCCCACAAGTCCAGGCAATATTTTGGTTTATTTTACAACAGCCCCGTAATTTAACAACTTATTGGCAAAAACATGTAACACTTAATGAGACTGCCCTCAAAGTACAGGCTGTGCCTGGCTACCACTGTCCTTAAAATACTGTCATTTAACACAGTATGAAATGACAGTAGACGTCAGTTCAAACCTATGAACCTTTAACTATAAATCTAGCAACAGTTCAAGTACAAACAAATCCTAACCAAACTAAAGTCAACCAAAGTAATCTTTAGATTTTTTTCCTTTCCTCACCCTCGGGGACCGCACCTCTTTGTGCACAAGGGTCTGAAAGTCTCCTAACCTCAAACTCCAGTTACCAGCCCGGCTACGACTCCCCGGCAAGACACCGTCGCCAGCCTCGGGTGGCTTTTGCTCAGCAGTGGAGACGTCGGCGGATGCGGACGGGCGCGATCACTGAAGGAGTCCAGACGCCAGGCGTTGTTCCGCCGGGCCCGAAACCAAGACTGGGGGCGCGCCGTCACCAGAGACCGGGCCTCAGGCTGGCGCGGGGCAGCGGAGACCCAGGCTGCGGTCCCAGTTTTGGCCTGGGCTCTACCTCAAGGCTTAAGGACCGGCGAAGAGGACAAAAAGCAACGGGTGGACACACCTGGCAAGGACCTTGAGCAGCCGGATCCTGCGTTAGTGCAGCGTCCGTCGGAGTCTCCCAGCATTCGCCGCCGCCCCTCCTCCCGGGCCAGGGCCACCTCCACGTTCCGTTCCAACGTGGCAGCCGCAGCCGCAGCCACGCCCTGCCGCCCAACACTTCCGGGAGCAACATTTCTCCCCGCCCACCCCGACGCACGGCCCGCCATGGCACTTCCGGGACCGGCGGTAGACTGGGGTGCAGGGTATGGCTCTGCGGGTTGGGCGCGCTCTGCGGTCATCGCGCCCGCGCGAATATAGAAACCCTTTTCTGAGGGGCGGCGCGCAGAATATGGATGCGGTAGCCAGGACTAACAGGTAAAGGAGTAGTGCAGAGGGTGTCTCCGTCCGGCCGAATAACCGCTGTGGTCCGCAGGAACGCCACGTAGCACTAGTCCTGTGGGGCGTCTGCAGCCCCTGGCGACACTGCCCGAGCCAAACCACGTGGAAAATTGGGCTGCAAGAGCTTTCTTGTAATTTGTGACCGAGTTCTTAAAATTACCCACTTGATTACACATTCTGGCATTTTGAGAACTTACGCAAAGCGAAACTATCTGGGCATACCCAAAGGCTATTGTGAACAGAGAGGCATAGATGGGGTGTTACGGTGTTATCAATTAGTACCCTTTCATACTTGTTACTATCCCATGGTATTGAGACCCCGTAGCACTCGCCTTCCGCTGTTACTAGTTTCCCCAGAGCTTCAAATCTAATTAGATGCGTTACCTGGGTGTACTTTTAGTTTAGGGAGGAATTATTTTACAGCGAGGTAAAGCCAAAGGAAAATCACTTGCTAAACTACCAGAAACTGGATTCAACCCAGGTCTCCTAACTTCTAGACAAGTTATTTTCTCATTACACCTAGCATTCAAAGCCAACTCTTGCACTTTGGGTGGCTAAAGCAGGATCCTGCCTCTTGAACAGCAGCAGTGTCAACATTCCCAGTCAGCTACATCTTCTGTAACATTCCATCTGAAGCTTGCAGCTTCATAAGATAGCTTAACATTAATTCACGCCAACTTCTGAAATAATGAACCCAGCTTTTACTGGTAGTAATATATTTTCTTTCAGTCTTCTAATTACCATTTTCTTTCAACGCAGTAACTAAGGTTATCACTTTGGCCTGAATGCTAGTCAAACTGATTGGGATTTGTTTTTGATTAGTCTTCAAACAAGTAAATGCTCCATTTCAACCGCAAGCAGCTTTCTGTTCCTAGTGCAATTAAAACTGAAAGACGTTGAAGCAAGTTTACCTTTTTACATTTATCATACTTTTTCAATAGGCCTGTATTACAGCTTCATGCAGGTCTGGGTCTCAACCTATCTTTGCTTTGCTGTCACCACTTTCAAATCTTCTAATCACATCCAATTTCACTTCCAGCGTTATCACTTTTCTTTGCTGCCCTGTCCTTTGTTGACCAATTACCTATTTTGATTATCCATTTCTGTAAATGGTCACAAGTTTAATCTCTGGGGTCATGGAGGCAACACTACTATGCACTTTGTGCTTTGCTATCTGTGCATGAACTGATGGATCAGTAACAAATCACCAACAAACTTTGAAAGAACGTAACTGGCCACTGATCATGATGCACACCTTTTTTTGGCGGAGGTGGGGGGCACAACGATTTGTGGACTAAAGAGCTAGCAGCAAAATTTATGCAAGTTTTCTCAGTACTGTGGTAATGGAATTATTAACCACATTGTTGGACTGGTTTTATTTAACTTAATTGTGGTAACTGGCATTTATGCATATTGGAACTTTGCAAAGCAAGGACTGCCTGTATCTAAAAAAAACCTCTAGTTCACAAAACAGTTGTAATCCAATTTCGTTAACTACTATCCAAGCCTAATCCTGAATCAAAAACTGAATTGCTCACTAGAAGAATGTTTGGAGAGAATTTAATGACGAATTCTTCAAATTAGGATTTCATAGCACAAAGATATTCTCATTTTTTTTTAGAGACAGGTTTTTGCTGTGTCACCCAGGCTGGAGTGTGGTGGCAATGATCACAGCTCACTGCAGCTTCAACATCCAGGGTGCAAGTGATCCTCCCACCTCAGCCTCCCAAGTAGCTAGGATTATAGGCACATGGCCATGCTTGATTATTTTATTTTTTGTAGAGACAGGGACTCATTTTGTCACCCATACTGGTCTGGAACTCCTGGCCTCAAAGGATCCTTCTGCTTTAGCCACCCAAAGTGCAAGGATTATAGGCATAAGCCTCGATGCCCACTTGACATTCTTTCGGGAATTCAGATCCCTTCCCCTCATTTCAATAGTCTTGCGGTCTGCAAAGAGCGAAGTTGTAGACAAAACAATCATCACAAGGCACATGACTGTTTATGTAACTTTTTCCATAGCAGCCAGTACTATGTTTACACCTCAGTAAAACAGTAGCATCCATTTCATTAATGTTTTAGTTTGTTTCTGAATGCATTTATTTCACAAATTTGTTTGTTAAGGGCTATGAACAAAATTTGTATCAACTTTTATGTTTGTATATATTTACAAAATAGAAAATTAAGTCAGCATTAAGTCAACATTAGTCACAGAATTTTTCCCCTTTATAAAGGGTACATATTCAAGGAGACTTCAAAAAGTTTGTAGAAAAATGGAATTAAAAGATAAAAATATAAACGATATTTCTGAACATTAGCTCTATAGGGTTCAAGACACTTTTGTAAGTGATGATACCAGCTATAAAATTTAGTCCATCCCTAAAGAACTGAGAGTTCTGGGAATTTACCCACATCAATGCAGTGTTTTTACATTAACTTTAGAAAAATGTACTGCCCTGAAAAAAATTTTTAAGATTAGGAAACAAAAAGTCAGAAGGAGCCAAACCAGGACTGTAGGGTGGATGCCTAGTGATTTCCCATCAAAACTCTTGCAAAATTGCCCTTGTTTGATGAGAGGGATGAGTAGGAACATTGTTGTGGTGAAGAACTCTCTGATCTTTCTCGGGCATTTTTCTGCTAAAGCTTTGGCTAAGTTTCTCAAAATACTCCCATGATAAGCACATGTTACCATTCTTTGGCCCTACAGAAAGTCAACAAGCAAAATGCCTTGAGCATTCAAAAGCTGTTGCCATGACCTTTGTTCTCAACCAGTCCACTTGTGCTTTGACTGAACTACTTCTTATCTTGGTAACATTGCTTTGTGTTTTGTCTTCAGGATTGCGCTGGTAAAACCATGTTTCATCTCCTGTTACAATTTTTCAATGAAAGGCTTCACGATCCTGATCCCACTTATTTAAAATTTCCATTGAAAGTTCTGTTCTTGTCTGTAGCTGACCTGGGTGCAGTGGTTTTGGTACCTATCAGGTATAAAGTTTGCTGAACTTTTCCAGTCAAAATTGTGTAAGGTGAACCAACTGAGATGTCTATGGTGTTGGCTGTCGTCTCTGCTGTTAATTGCTGGTTTTCTTCAATTATGCCATGAACTAATTTTTTTCTCACAAACTGATGTGGATGATCTGCCACTGTGGGCTTCTTCTTCAACATTACCTTATCCCTTCTTAAAACGAGTTATCCATTTGTAAACTGATTTCTTTGGAGCATTGTCCCCATAAACTTTTCATAAAGCATCAATTAGCTCACCATTCTTCCACCCAAGTGTCAACATGTATTTGATGTTTGTTCTTCCTTCAATTTTAGCAGAATTCGTGTTGCTCTGATAGAGCCTCTTTTCAAACTGATGTCTTATTCTTCTTAGTGCTTCAAACTAGATCCTGTTCAAACATGTTATAACAAGTTAGTAGGAGTTTATTTTGGTCCAAAAATTTTGAAATCCATGCAGTTTTTTCATGATATGCATTTTCCATGAACTTTTTCAAGACCCCTCATATTTCTTAAATTTGAGAAATACCCACAATAACAAGCCTAATTAATGACAGAACTAGTTTTAAGATTCCTAGTTTCCTATCACCTTCTTTTCTACTGTTCCTGACTTCCTTAAGTTATAGGATAGTCATCCTTGGCATATCTAAGAGTCATTTGTAAACCCTGGATCTTTAAGAATTCAGGTGCTGAAAAGATTACATCATTATTTCTAAGAAAAGATAACCAACAGCCAGGTGCAGTGGCTCATGACTATAATCCCAGCACTCTGGGAGGCCAAGGTAGGCGGATCACTTGAGGCTGGAAGTTTGAGACCAGTCTGGCCAACATGGCAAAACCTGGTCTCTATTTAATAAAAAAAATTAGCTGGGCATGGTGGCATGCGCCTCTAATCCCAGCCACTTCGGAAGCTGAGCCACAATAACTGTTTAAACCCAGGAGGCAGAGATTGCAGTGAGCAGAGATTGCGCCACTGCACTCCAGCCTGGGCAACAGAGTCAGACTGTCAAAGTTAAAAGCTCCACCCCTTCCAATGCCTTTCCTGAATTGAATCTATTAATTTAAAAAATACTATTTTGAAATAATACTTATTATCTTTAAAAGCTGGAAGAGTAACAAAAAGAAAATTTTAATTCAGAGTACAGTATCCACATTAGACTCAAATAAATGTGAATTTTCTACTCATACCTGACCTTTTTTGTGTTCTTTTATCAAAATAAATGTGTAAGTCCCATACCTTATTACATAAATCTTCAACTTCTTGATCAAATAAATATGACAAATGATGTTGTCTAAGAAAAACACCCTTCAATTTTATTCCTAAAACGAAAAACATTCAAAGGAACTCATTGTGCAGAAACACAATATATACAAGCCTCACCATTTTCTTTTTTTTTTATGTCCTCATCCACATACATTAATCACAACAAATCATGATGTGAACAGCAGTGGAAAAAGTTTAATCATTGGACATTTATTTCTTCAACTTCAGCTCTACTCATAAGATTCTCATTGCTTAGCTCTTTGAAACAAATGCGTATATTTATCTAATGTAGAACAGTTAAGACCTCCAATTTTACTATAATTGGGAAAAAAAACTCAGAACAATGTCAAGTATATCACTTTATCGACTTTGTTAACCTGCTATGCATCTGACAAAAGGGTAGGTGTTCAACAAGTGAGATACCAACCCTAAAAAGCAAGAAGTCTGTATCTACTTTCATTGGGTTATTAAGAGAAATAAATATTGTTTAAGAAAACCAACTCTTTCTTTTTTGAGACAGAGTTGTGCTCTGTTACCCAGGCTGGAGTGCAGTGGCAAATCTTGGCCCACTGCAACTTCCACCTCCTGGGTTCAAGTGATTCTCCTGCCTTGGCCTCCCAAGTAGCTGGGGTTACAGGTACATGCCACCACGCCTGGCTAATTTTTGTATTTTTAGTAGAGATGGTGTTTCGCCATGTTGGCCAGGCTGGTCTTGAACTCCTGAGCTCAGGTGATCCACCTGCCTTAGCCTCCCAAAGTACTGGGATTACAGGTGTGAGCCACCATGCCTGGCCAAGAAAACCAATTCTTTATACTATATATAAAAATCTTACCAGCCTGGGCAACATGGCAAAACCCCTTCTCTACCAAAAGTACAAAAAATTAGCCAGGTGTGGTGGCACACGCCTGCAGTTCCAGCTACTTAGAGAAGCTGATTAGAACTGGAGTATAGCTAGAAATTAAGTATCCCTACTCATATAATTTTCCTTGGGGTGGTACTAACTTGGAAAGTTGAACTTTCTATGAATATTTCAACGAATATTGTCCAATTTCTTCTATGCAGTTATACAAATATTTGCCATAGGATGGAGTAAAGGTACAGATGTACAGCACCGTTAAAGGAGTTTGACCTTTTCCCCCAAAGTGGATTTTTATCCACTATGATGAATACATTTTACTACTTGCTTGTCTTTCCCTTCTGCTGCTTCCACCCCCACCTCCCACAGGCTTCTACTCCTCATCAGCAATAGACCTTGTCAGGCAATCAGAATGTTTCTAATTGGCAGAATACTAATTCATGCCAAGATTTATAATCTTTTGAGTCTTCTTGTTTTCCTTTCATCACTGCTCAAAAGTTCTGTTAGAAGAAAAAACACTCCCCCTTTTCCTTTAAGTCTTAGCACTGCTTCTAATAGTTGGAAACCACTTGTCTAATAATAGAAGCATTACGTATAAAACAAAGCATAACTAGTTTTGGAGTACATTAGGGTGTAGCTGCCCCTCCATATCAGGCTTGATGCTGAGAAGACACTTCCAAGTTAGCATGAGATTCTAGAAGTAGAAATAATTATGTAACAAATAATGATTTAACAATAATTTCAAAACTCCATGGCTTTCTGAAACAAAAGACAGAACTCAAACAATGAAAAATTTGGCAAGACAAAAGGGGTAGGTGCTCAACAAGTAAGATACCAACCCTAGAAAGCAAGAAGTCTGTATCTGCTTTCATAGCTATTATAAGAAATAAACAGTGTTTAAGAAAACCAACTCTTTCTATGTACTCTATATAAAAAGCTTAGCAGCCTGGGCAACACGGCAAAACCCTGTCTCTACCAAAAATACAAAAAAAATTAGCCAGGTGTAGTGGTACATGCCTATGGTCCCAGCTACTTAGGAAGCTGAGGTGGGAAGATTGCTTGAGCCTGGAAGACAGAGGTTGCAGTGAGCTGAGATTGTGCCACTGCACTCCAGCCTGGGTGACAGAGTGAGACCCCATCTCAAAAAAATAAGATAAAATAATAAAAAGCTCAGCATAATGTGTGGTCCATAGTAATGGGCCAATAAATAATTTATTCTTTCCAAGTGGACAATTAATAAGATTCTATACCATAAAATAGGTAATTAGATTTCATCAAATCCTTTATAAATGTTTTTTACTTGGACAATCCTCCATTTCCAACTCACTGCTATAGTTCCAGGAATACTTAACACATTTAGAATAGAAAAATATACTACCTTCCCCTGCATATTTTGAGTATTTATCTTCCAAGACCCATGTATCTTTTCTTGACATCTCTGAGCATGACTCCTGGAAAGAGATATTTTCTTTTAAAATTTTTTGTGCAATAGTCAATGCCTTTGCAAATAACACTATCTTTAATACAGCTTACATATCCTCATTTAAGTATTCAATAATCACAACAGTTCATTATGTGAACAGCAGTGAAAAGGTTTAATCACTGGATATGAAGTTACTAGAAGCAGCAACGATATAACCAAAGGATCAAATTGAGAACTTCAATGTCAACAATAAAATAAACAATCACAACAACAAAAAAAGCATATATAAGTTATAAACAAAAGTAAAGATAGGATTACTTATTTCCTATCCAGAAGTAAATATCTACAGCAGTAACCCCTTGCGGCTATTGCCTTCATTTAAGTAAATCTGTTCTAATAAAAGCAGTTTTCAGAAACTGATTTGAATATAATAAAGGAATGTTGTCAGAATAATGTGGAAGCACACTGTTTCAACTTTAGGAAAGGCAAATAGTTACAATCTAATTAAACAGGAAAGAAAACAGCCCTCATTTCAGATGATGAACTGGCAGCAGTACTTTTCAACTCTACCTTAAGAAAATGGCAAGTGAAGGCCTGTATCAGCAAACAAATTTTGAGTCCTTAAGAAAAGGTAAACACCACGATGAGACAGTCACTTCACACCACAAATGTGGAGAAACTGACAGCCTCATCCACTGCTGGTGGGAATGTAAAATGTTGCAGCCACTAGGGAAAATAATCTGGCACTTCCTCAAGAAGTTAAACACAGTTAGTTACCTTATGACTCACCAGTTTCACTCTTAGGTGTGTAATCAGGAAAATGAAAACATTTGTCCACACAAAGACTTGTACACAAATGTTCCTAACAGTAAAAAAAAAGAAAAAAAAAAAAAAAGGAAAACCCCAAATGCCCTCCAACTGATGAACAGATAAACAAAATCTGCTACATCCATAAAATGGAATACGATTTAGCAATAAAAAATAAAGTACTGATACGTGCTATAAGATGGATGAACTCTGAAAACATTCCAAGTGAAAGAAGCCAATCACAAGGACCATATATTAGTTTATAATTCCATTTACATGAAGTGTACAGAGCAGGCATGGGCACACAGAAAGTAAATTAGTGGTTGCTGAAACGGGGTGGGGGAATATTTGGAGGTACTGCTAATAAGAATGAGGTTTCGGACAGGTGCGGTGGCTCACGTCTGTAATCCCAGCACTTTGGGAGGCCGAGGCAGGTGGATCACGAGGTCAGGAGATCGAGACCATCCTGGCTGACATGGTGAAAACCGTCTCTACTAAGAACACAAAAAATTAGCCGGGTGTGGTCGCGGGCGCCTGTAGTCCCAGCTACTTGGGAGGCTGAGGCAGGAGAATGGCGTGAACCTGGGAGGTGAAGATTGCAGTGAGCCAAGATCGCGCCACTGCACTCCAGCCTGGGCGACAGAGCGAAACTCCGTCTCAAAAAAAAAAAAAAAAAAAAAAGAGGTTTCTTTTTGGAGTGATGAAAATGTTCTAAGATTGATTGTGACTATTGCACAATTCTGTGCATATCCTAAAACCCACTGAATTGTACAGTTTAAACCAGTTAGTTGTATGGTATGAGAATTATATCTGAATAAAACTGTTACAAAAATACAAGGCAACTGATTTTTCCCTTAAAGACAGCTAAAAACAATGTATTTTTATTCAGCCTCATTCAGGTCTTAATTGGTTGAGTAGGAAAAGGCTCTAACAGCCCAACCAACTTACAGTATTTAAATCCAGTTCCTACTCTCTGCACACATCTTACAGCCAAAAAGTATTTTCCCTGCACATCCCCCAGGGACAAATTTTTCCAAAGTTCCTTGACTATCCTTAGGCCATGTGACTTTTAAGGAACCATAACCAAAAGCTATTAATTCCATCCAAAGAAGACATAAACATATTTTAGTGGAAAACTGGTGTGAATAAATAATACCTTAATATGTGTCTTTTCGGCTGTAATCAGGACAAAGTAAACACAAAGGGGAAAAAGAAGCAATCTTGTTAGGCCTGGATATTTGGAATTATTTTTGTGTGCTATACAAAGAAACGGAAAAGTTGCAAACCCTTCTGTTTTCTGTATGCTAAGGATCTCCTCAGAGACAAAAACACACTGCCTGTTTCCTTCTAAGCAAATTGAAATCTCTTCCTCAAACATAAGGGCTTATAACTAAGACATTGTTCTAAGCTTTTCTCCTGAAAGCTATTCATAACGCCTCATTCCCAACCAAAACCACTTAATTGCCCCTTGTCCCCTGCCCCTATTACTACTGACGAGCCCCAAGAACCTTACCTGATGTCCTTCATTGTGGCAGTGTTTCAGAAAAGGGTTCCTCGAATTAAAAGTCGGCGTATCCTATTTGACTCCCGCTCCTCCCGTATCAGGTACCTACAGCCAACCATGCCAAGAGTTTCCGCATTACCTCCGCATCGGAGAGCTACAAGATAAAGCGCAAGAACACGACACGCATCTCAGTAAATCATGTATTTTGGGCCCGACTCTGTCTTCAACATACCTAGGGCACCGTGTTTTATCTCTTTTCCATACCCTTTCCTCCCGATATCCTCCAGTTTCAGAGAACGCATCCGGAGACCCATTGGCAGGTTCCCGGATTCGCCTCAATTTTGGTCCTGCCTCTCTGCTTCGCTTTTTCAGGCTCGGTCTCACAAAGAACGACGATGGCGGCGGATTGTGCCAGAATGGGTGAAAACAGAAGGAAAATGAACCGGTGGCAGCAAAACCCACTATTGGGCCTCCAACGCGGAAGGAGGAGCGGTCAAGTGCACGTCTTCAGGCTCAGGCCCTTCCGATTGGCTGCTGCGACACAACGTGGCCTGTGATTGGCTACGGTACCGGCGCAGGGCCTTCGGAGAGGAAGTGTGGAAGTCCCGCGCCTCTAAAGCCCGCCTTTCCTGACAAATAAAGGTCGTAGCCGCAGTCAACGGGCGGAGCTAAAGTGGTCGTGATTCATGCTGTCGCGGGAACCCCGAAGGTGGGGCCCCACGTAACAAGAAGATGACCCGAAGTTGCTCCGCAGTGGGCTGCAGCACCCGTGACACCGTGCTCAGCCGGGAGCGCGGCCTCTCCTTCCACCAGTGCGTATGGGAGCAGCCTCGGAGCCTTCGAATTCCCTGCGGGGCCCGGCGGGCCGTAGCGCGGCGTGGGGCGGGGCCGGGCCGCACTGTGGGTCGTGCCGTGGATGTGACGCGACGTGACGTGCGCAGCGTCGGGGCGTGGGAGCGGAGTTGGGGCACTGTGAGAATTGAGGTTCTCTCTCCTCGCTCAGTGTTGACCTCTTTGTAGTCGGGTCTCGCACCGCTTACCGCTGTAGCGAGAGTTACGCGAAAGGAGTCCTCCATTAATTGGATGGTCTTATTATTTAAAGTGAGGAGGCCGGAAGGGAAGGCAGTTTGGGACAACGGTTGAAGTGTGTGGCGTGTTCCTGAGCACGAGTACAGATCAGTTTTCTCCTGTACTGGCAGACATTGAAAGTTCTTAAGTGCTATTAGCCGAGCTCTACAAGGCCGGTCCGATTCTGGTTGGATTTGATCATGGGGAAGTTTCATTTGGCTCGACAATGGGGAAGAATTTCAGACCAGTCTTATCTGAACTTATCCATGGTTCAGACTGCTATAGGTCATTCAAATCAGTATTCAGAGTGTACCGGCAAGTAGAAAAGTGGGTAAAAGAGATCATCCCAGACAAAAGGAGCAGATTTATGGAACGATCAAAAAGAACTTTATGGTTGGAAAATGGGTTTAGGAAGAGGGTAGTTAGGAATGGCATGGGAAAATGTAAAGGATAGAAAGTGCAAATATAGAGGAATGGGAAAGTACCTGAGAGATAAGTCATTTAAAAAATTTAAATGCCAGGTTAAGGAGTTTGGATTATGTATGGTAGGCTGTGTATCAAATTCATTGATTTTTTTTTTTTTTTTTTATGTTTTAAATAAGGCTGATCCCTCCACCTAAATTGTTAACAGTGTGAACCAATTAATTCTGTATGTGAGACGATAATTGATTTGGGATTTTTCTTGTGATAGAGGTAGCTTTAAACTAGGGAGACATGAATTCCAATTTTAATTGATTATTTACTGATCTCTGTACTTAGCTCTGGGTCTTGGTTTCTTCTTCTGTAAGAGGAATGAAAACCTGCCTTGTAGAGTTTTGTAAAACCAAAACGTAAGACTTTATAGCATACGTAGAGCACAAGGTAAATGCTTTAAAAATGGTATTATTACCAATTTAATTTTTTCCAGAACTCAAAACTAGTTATGCTAGTTAGACTACAATATTTCCCAACCTTTTTCTTCTTCTTTTTTTTTGTTTTTCCTTTTTTTGGAGACAGGGTCTCACTGTTGCCCAGGCTGGAGAGCAGTGGCAGTATCACAGCTCAGCGCAGCCTCTATCTCCCAGGCTCAAGTGATCCTCCCACCTCAGCCTCATGAGACTACAGGCACAGGCCACCACCCCGGCTATTTTTTTTTTTTTTTTGGTAGAGAAGAGGTCTCAGTGTGTTGCCCAGGTTGGTCTCCAACTTCTGGGCTGGGATTACAGGCATGAGCCACGCTGCCCAGCCCCAGCCTTTTTCATAGCATTTTACGCATAGGAAATAATTGTTCAATACTTTGGGGGCAAACCTGCAGCACTCTTTGGGGCTGCCTTGAAGTAACTACTCAGGTGTCCCAGGCCAATATCAACAGCTGTACTCACTAGGCATACCAGTTGGGAAGCTTTGCATCAGAGGACCACGCTAGTAATAGAAGTTGTTGGACCAGCCAACTTTTGAGGGTTGCTTGCACGTTTAGAGACTATACCAAATCTGTGGAAAAGCTCCCTTGCAAATATGTTCCATAAGTTAAAAAATAACTCAGTGAAAAAAGATAGATTTGCTCCAACCTTATTGGAAAAAGAATTCCCCGTTCATTTTCCCTTGATCAAGTATCATCATCTTCCTGGAACAATAAAATTGTAATCCCAGAAATGGAATTAGTTGTTCCTAGGAAAGCGCAAACTTTGGATAGTACTTTAGAGTTTACAAAGTGATTTTGAATACATTTGTAGCCTCATACACTCTTACTACAGCCCCATGAGGAAGTTCTAAGATTGAGAGATGTGTCTAATACCATATAGCTGGTAAAAGGTCAGTGTTCTGATCTTTTAAAGCTATAAAGCTTAAAAACAGGTTTTCCAAGTCAGTGTTCTTTCTGAAGGTGATTGAGAGAGTATCTCAGAATTATGTTTTACCATACTGCTATATTTTTGTAGCAATTAACTGAGAAATAAAATTTATACCAATCTCAGTTCTGGTAACTATGTACCTTAAAGTCTAAATTAAAATGCACAAAAAGCATAGTTACCTATAAATCTGTGTCTAAAATAAGTCAAAGAAGAGGGGGCAGAAAGAGTAGTTTTGTGGTTTTTATTGTGTTAATTTCACAAGTTTCTTGTGTTTTTTTTTGGTTTTTTTTTTTTTTGAGATGGAGTCTTGCTGTTGCCCAGGCTGGAGTGTAGTGGCGCGATCTTGGCTCACCGCAACCTCTGCCTCCCAGATTCAAGCGATTCTCCTGCCTCAGCCTCCCTAGTAGCTGGGATTACAGGTGCGAGCCACCATGCCCAGCTAATTTTGGTGTTTTTATTAGAGACAGGGTTTCACCATGTTGGCCAGGCTGGTCTTGAACTCCTGACCTCAAGTGATCCGCCCGCCTCAGCCTCCCAACGTGTTGGGATTACAGGCGTGAGCCACCACGCCTAGCCGACAAGTTTCTAAACATAATTTGGCTTGGATTGAAAAATAAATAAATGCAAGGTAATTTTTATAATCAGGGCTAGCAAAAAGTAGTGCCTTTAAACATGAAAAAGTTGAATATAGTAAATATACTTGTCTTGTTTTCTACTGCTGCATAACAAGTTACCTCAAAATTCACTATAAACATTATCTCACACATTTCTAAGGGTCAGGAATTCAGGAGTGTAGCTGGATGTTATGGTATCTCATAAGATTGCAGTCATCTGAAGGCTGAAGTCACCTGCTTTCAAAAAGACTTACTCAACATGGCCTTTGACTGGAGGCCTCAGTTGCTCACCAACTAGTTTTCTCCACAGGACTGCTTATAACATGCCAGATACCTTACCCCAGAGCAAACCATTCTCTACAGGGAGCAAGGAGGAAAACTTGTTCCTTTATGACATAGTCTGTGGTCACTTACTGTCACATGTTCTTTTTCCATTCCTTAGCAAATCACTAACTCTAGCCCATACTCACTCACGGGGAGGGGAATTAGGCTCCACCTTTTTTTTGTGACGGAGTTTCACTCTTGTTGCCCATATTGGGGTGCAATGGTGCGATCTCAGCTCACTGCAACCTCCACCTCTGGATTCAAGAGATTCTCCTGCCTCAGCCTTCCCAGTAGCTGGGATTACAGGCACCCGCCACCACGCCCGGCTAATTTTTTGTATGTTTAGTAGAGACGGGGTTTCACCATGTTGTCCAGGCTGGTCTTGAACTCCTGACCTCTGATCCTTCCGCCTCAGCCTCCCAAAGTGCTGGGATTACAGGCATGAGCCGCTGCGCCCGGCCAGGCTCCACTTCTTAAAAGGAGTACCAAATAGTTTAAAATCACCACGGGAAAGGAAAAGAGTCATATATTCTTTAACCATTTAAATTTGAGCAGATTCTGTTAAGTGTAGGAAGTGAAGACAAAATACAGTAGGATTTTTAATATGAGAATTGCCCCTCTATGATTGACACAGACAATCAGATATTGAACTTGTGGATTAAAAAAATCAAAGAACTTTGAAAAATGAACTAAGTAAACTTTTAATTCACTTGGCTTTATGTTTCTATAAAGCAGTAAAATAATAAATGGGTTTATATAATAAATACTACTGCAGTATTACTATAATGTTTTCATGTTAATGGAACTTTAATCTGATTGCCATAGATTTCCAACTGATACCATACAGCGCTCAAAATGGATCAGGGCTGTTAATCGTGTGGACCCCAGAAGCAAAAAGATTTGGATTCCAGGACCAGGTGCTATACTGTGTTCCAAACATTTTCAAGAAAGTGACTTTGAGTCATATGGCATAAGAAGAAAGCTGAAAAAAGGAGCTGTGCCTTCTGTTTCTCTATACAAGGTACTTAAATGTAGGTGTAAGTCAACAAAATGAAAATTTACAGAGCTTTTAAAAATCAATATAGCCCCTGTTATAGCTAGAATTTGCAGACAGAAAAAAATCCCAAGTCTTAAATCCAGTAATAGATTTTAAATGCTTTGAAAATTAAAAAAAAAAAATCTATATATATTAGCATTTGTTCTGGAGCTTTTAAAAAACTATATAAATGCGAATCATTTGTCTAGATATATATAAAGGTTACTAACCAATTGCAAAAATCAACTGGTAGATATAAATAGCCTTAGAATACAGACTTTTTAAAATTATGAGACAGCTTTCAAAGTTCTTTGAAATTATCTATGTTTTTTGGTTCCTCCTAATAATGTTATTTATCTTGATCAAAAATATACTTAATTATTAACATTGATACAGGAAGTCTATGGGAAATAATGAAACTTTCTATGAGTGAGTCACCAGTATTGGTATGATACTCTTCTGTTTCCTATGACTGGTTTTATTTTA